CGTATCACGCCACCGTAGATTATTTTTACAAGAAACTTGTATTCAATCTTTCTAATGAAGAGTCATTCACAAATTAATAAAAGTGTTAGATATTTTTTCCCTCATAGCAATTGCATCGTTATATGATACTTTAACTCGATTGTCTTTTCTATATTAGGCAAAGATAAGAAAGAAATTTGCACACAAGAGATCCTTGTGGTCCAAGAATTCTCAGATGTATTTCCTGATGAACTATCTGGACTGCCAGTGGATAGGGAAGTCGAATTTATCATAGATCTTCAACCTAGCACCCAGTGTATCTCAGTTGTCCCTTACCGCATGAGTCGGATAGAGATGGAAGAGCTGAAGAAACATATAGAAGAATTGTAGGATAGTGGATTCATCTGACACAATATATCTTCTTGGGATGCTGGAGTCACGTTTGCAAGGAATGGGAATGGGTCTATGAGGTTATGTATTTACTACAGGGGATTGAATAGAGTCACAATCAAGAATAAGTACCCCTTCTCGCGGATTAATGATTTTTTCCATCAGTTACAGGGTGCTCAGGTTTTCTTCAAGATAGACTTGCGTTCAGATTACTATCAGGTAAATATCAGTGCAGAGGACATTCCCAAGACAGCTTTTAGAACTAGGTACAAAAATTATGAGTTCCTAGTCATGCCATTTGGGCTAATTAATGCGTCAACAATTTTTATGCATTTGATGAACAGGATTTTTAGGAAATTTTTGGATCCGTTCGTCATTTTGTTTATTGATGATATCTTAGTCTGTTAAAAGAGCAGAGAGGAACACGCTCGTCGCGTGACTCAGGTTTTACAATTTCTCAGAAAAAATAAGTTATATGCAAAATTGAGCAAGTGTAGGTTCTGACTTGAGTAGACTATCTTTCTGAAGCACATAATATCAAAAGATATGGTGTCAGTGAACCCCGAAAAGGTTGAGATAGTACTTAACTGTAGAAAATTAACTTCGGTTAAGGAGATCCGTAGCTTTCTAGGAATGACAGGATGTTACCGCAGGTTCGTAGAATGGTTTTCTAGCCTAGCCGCTCTATTGACCTGACTTACACAAAAGAACGTCAAGTTTGAGTAGAATGAGGATTGCAAAAGGAGTTTTACAGAACTCAAGAAGTGGTTGACTACCGCACCTGTGTTGGCTCTATCGAGTGGAACGGGTAGATATACAGTGTGTAGTGATGCCTCCTATCTAGGATTAGGTTGTGTTCTGATACAGCATGAGAATGTTATAACCTATGGGTCCAGTCAGCTGAAGAGTCATGAAAAGAATTACCCTACCCACGATTTGAAATTTACCACTATTATCCACGTCTTGAAGACCTTATGCAACTACTTGTATGGGGAGATTTTTGAGATTTATACGGACTATAAGAGTTTGAAGTATATATTCACTTAGAAAGATCTCAACATGCATAAAAGGTGTTGGATAGAGCTCCCCAGTGACTATAATTATAAGATTTTGTATCCCCAAGGCAAGGGTAATGTGGTAGTTGACACACTCAGCATAAAAAGTACAGGTATGTTGGCTAACCTAATAGTTTTTAAATGCAGGGTAATAGGGGTTGTACAACAAATATGGCTTTAGGACTTGAAGATGGTTACATGTTTGACCCATCTGACTGTCCAACTTGAACTGATTCGAAGAATAAATGAAGTCCAATTGACTGATTCCACCCTAGCAGCTCTCGAAAAGGATACAGAACAGGGAGTAAATCCAAAGTTTCAAGTCTCTGCCGATGGGTTACTCAGGTTCCAAGACAGAGTGTGTGTTCTAGAAAGCAGTGAACTGAAAAGGGATATTATGACAGAGACCCATAACTCAAAGTTCACCATGCATTCCAAAAGTACTAAGATGTATCAAAGTATGCGATCCCGTTTTTGGTGGAGCGGGATGAAAAGAGATATTGTCGATTTCGCCTCCCAGTGCCTTATATGTTAACAAGTTAAGGCAGAATATCAACGCCCAGGTAGACTACTTCAGCCATTACTGATCTCAAAGTGAAAATGGGAACATATCACCATGAATTTTATGATATGAGTGTCTAAGACACGCTCGAGACATGATGTTATCTAGGTAATTATCGACCGACTCACCAAGTCTTCTCACTTCTTGGCTATCAAAATGATTGACCCCTTAGACAAGCTAACAAGAATTTATATATGGGATATAGTTAGGCTACATGGAGTTTCGATGACAGTGGTATTCGACAGAGACCCCAGGTTTACTTCTCGTTTTTGGTCTAGTTTACAGCAAGTGATGGGAATGAAACTATCCATCAACATCGCATTCCACCCTCAAACCGTTGGACAATCAGAACAGACAATTCGCACACTAAATGATATGCTCTGAGCTTGAGTTATATACTTCGGGGGCCATTGAGATAATCACTTATCATTGATAGAGTTCACCTATAATAACAGTTACCAAGCAAATATCAACATGACCCCGTATGAGGCATTGTATGACTGACCTTGTAGGTCGCCAATCTGTTGGGAAGAGGTGGGTGATAAAAAATTGTTCGACCCAAATCTTGTAGAGGAGACCACAACGAAGATAATTAAAATCAAGAAAAACATCCAGACAGCTCAGAGTAGGCAAAAGAGTTATGCAAACACCCGAAGGAGAGATTTAGAATTTGAGAAATGCGATCTAGTCTTTCTTAAAGTCACCCCTTTCAAGGGAATCAACAGCTTTGGTAAGAGGGGAAAATTAAATTCCCGGTTCATTAGACCATTTGAAATCTTGAACAAGATCGATACGTCCACCTACAGACTAGTACTGTAATAATCGATAATATTGTGTTTTCTTAAAATTAGAAAACCCTAAAAATAATTACATATCACTAATGAAGCCGGAACCGGCTAGTACATATTTTTCTAGTTTACTGTTTATCTTCTCCTGTACTACTCAAAGTTCTTATTATTACACTGTGTGCATTAAATTGCTAGTTTTAATTGCTTCCTCGGTTATTTAGTTTACTTAATTATATGACCTTTATTTATTGATTCGTTTTGCAATAAATATCTCAATCATGTTTCTTATTGTCTGTATCGCCGATTTGTATGATTCACCGTTTATATGTAAATATGATATATTGGTATGTAACTGGTAATTGGTTAATTATGTGAATCTATGTATAAAATGCTTACTGTGTACCTTGAAAAAGAATGGACAGACCCGGTACATAGAGAATCCTACTGTAATATTATCTCAGTCAGACGGGACTAAGAAGTCTCATACCGGATAAGGTATCAAGAAGATGGTATGTTTGACACTCATTACTGGACGGGGTATGGAGATAGCCGGTTAATTGACAAATTTGGATATTAGGTTCATGCATAAGGGGACATCCTTATGCACCCCCAGAGGTACCAGTAAACATGTAAAAAGAAAAATTGTTGTTCTTACTCACTTGTATATGAAATCATACCGTTATTTAAGTTATTGTCCTTATAGGTCAATTTTGAAAACTTGTAACAGTAAGTATAAGATAAACGGTTTTATGTTAAATGAATTTATTTAAGAAAATAAATGGCTCAATTAGTTATTTTATAATTTTTATCAATTTTCGGTTTTCCGTATCAGTGATTAGTATAATATTCTTACTGAACTAGTGTAGTTCATCCCCCTATTTAACTATTTAAGATCAAGAAGATTAAGATCCAGATCCTTAATAGCAAAAGGGTTGCGAGTAACGGTTATTACCCGGATCCCATCAAAGTTGCCAGCGAAAGTTAACCCCATAAAATTTTAGCTTTATTTCTGTTATGTTATTTTAACTCTTATCAAAACTGGATATTCTCGTATTTCTATTGGGCATTATAAATTACTGTGTAAGTAATGTAAACTCTAATTATTATTTGTTTCCGCTATTTTAATATATATGTTCATTTCCATAAAGGTTGGACTTTTACAATATATTAGGCACCAATATGTACTTTTTTAAAGGGATAAATTATACTAATAACTTTTTAGTTTTAAAAATACATATATTTATTAGTTTCTTAATGTATGCTACTCACATGTTTTTTTTTACTTATTAAAATATATAATTAATTTAATTATGTTTTTCTCTTTGTTAGATTTTTTAAAAATAAATTATATAAAAATTAGTAGAAAATAACAAAAATTATATATTGTTAATATAAATAATATAAGTCAGTGATCTATATTAGTCATACTATAATTATTTTATAATTTATTATAAACAAAAATAATACAACTAATTAAAAATTAAAAATTTGAATATATCCGGTAAAAATAAAAAAGAATGTTTTATAAATTAAAATATTATTAACTAAAATAATTTATTTTAATTATTATTAAATATTTCGTAAAAAAATATATTATATTCAATGTATATAAAATGAATACATATTCGAAAAAAAATTTCATATAGTTAAAAATATTACTAATTCAAGTAATTTATTTTAATATATGATCAAGCTGACATATACCTACCCTCGGTGACTGATCTTTTTAGACGACAACTTTGAGGTGGAAAATGTACCAAGACAAGGCTAAACATCCATACTTTAGCTACAATATTATCAGCTAATAAACATTTGATTTCTGCAAAAATTCAATGCTGCGTGCACCATTAATTTTTAGTTTTGACTTTCCATCGGTTCTAATATGAATATTATTTCCATATATTAAATTCCTTAATCGTAAAAGTTCAGTTATTGTTTGGGCGAATATGACGATAATATTAAAAACTAAAAAAAAAAAACAAAGAATACCAAATGAGCGGGAAACAAAAGCACCATTTTGATTAATATGAGAATTAAAACCTAAAATTGAATAAAGTTAAATGAAAAATATATAAATTAAATGTCAGTGTTGAATTCATAACGTTTAATTAATAAGCATTGAGTAAATAAGAGAACAACAATTTTATTGTAAGATGCTGTACACTGCTTAGTTAAGGAGCCAAACTCAGTCTATACAAAATAAATCTTTTAACAAACTAAAAACCATTTCAAAGGAGGAAGCTTAACATCTAATCTTGTCATTGAACAAGATCCTGATGGCCAAGCAAACAAACACTTCATTCAAGTGACACCAGGCAGACCTTGTTTTGAATTGTAAAACAACAAACACAAATCCGACAACAGCCACAAAACAGGAAGATTTACAACACAGACATAACTGCTACTTCAGCCTTCAGACTACAAATTCAGACAAGCCTTTCTACCAAACACCAAACATGAAGACACCAAAGTACAGAAGCTAAACTCAGGTACACTTCTATTCTATAGGCTGATAAAATAAGTAATACAATTTAGCAGCCTGATAAGTCTGTCCAAATTTTCTAGCAAAAAGTACAATGCTACTGTTCCTTTTTCCTTTTCTTTTGATTTTGTCTGAACTAGCTATGATGAACCTGCTGAACATTACGCTGCCTACAACTCCCATCAACTAAGAGCTTCAGGATTAGTGCTGTGCTGTAAGGACGCTTACAAAGAGCCAGCATAAGAGGAACCCCCTTAGTTAGCAGAGTTGCTAAGAGAGGAACCTCCTTGGCTGGCAGATCCACTGGGAGTTGAACCACCTTGATGGGTCAAGAAACGAACAAAAACACAGGTTATATTATCCGCACTGCCTCTTCGATAGGCCTCCATCATCAGCCTCTTTGCAGCCTCCTCAGGATCCTCAATTGGTTTTGTCATAGCAACAGCTTCCTGAGAACAAGTAAAGATCAGATGAAGATCAAAGTACCAAATAAGTAACCATAAAACAACTGAGCAGTATTGGATAACAATATTATCCAGTTTCTATTAAGCACAACCTCCACGATATATTTTTAAGGACAAAAGAGCAAAAAATGGGAAAGAAAAAAATCTGCAACCTCATTTGTGACAACATCCCAAAGTCCATCACTTGCAAGGATGAGAAACTCCAGAGAGCTGTCAATCTTTTCCTCCTAAAGTTACCACAGAGAGTGTCAGTGACCAACTATTGTTAGACTCTATACTGTCTTTCAGTAGTGCAAGAAACATTAGGATTACGTTTGGAACAGATCCAGAACTTTTTTGGAATCCATTTATAAATTCATACTTAATTCAGCAAGAAAATTGTGAAGAACTTTCATAAAATGATAAATTAGGGCAAGTCTACAGTATCCCTTCTTATGCGGAGTACCAAGTACTTAAAAGACCTGATTATATTTTTTTACTAATTGGATTATCACTTGTTACCATTTTAACTTATTATCTTTTACCATCGAACTCCGTTGCCAATTGACAAGGGGACTAATTCATAGCCAATAAGTCGTTAAAATAGTAATAAAACATAGCCAAATGGCAATGCGACATAGCAAATTTTATGAGATATTGGTACTTCCAAATAACTGGAGGTATGTAACAAATCAGAATTTGATCTCATGAAATTCCATCAAATGAACTACCAAGGATAGATTTGCAATGAATTCCACAAAATGTTTTGAGTGACTACAATATGTTTGGAACAAATTAACTTCATTTCTGGATTAAATTGACATCTATTTTGACTATGAGTACAAAAATCCCTTCAATGATAACATAATGATCTCATCAATTTTTTAAGTGGAACAGAAACAAAATATTTTAGTAAAAATTCTAAATTCTGTTTGGAATAATCCAATATGTTAGTTGTTTTTATCATTTTCTGAGGAATTTGCATAATCTTCAGACTCGATTTTTAAATGAACTGCACAAATGAAATTCATTTGCTTCAAAAATAGCCTAGGTCTTTTTCAATCTCTCATTCTCTAGAAAAATAAAGGAACTCTAAATAAAGGAAAGAATTTGGGATACACAGAAGTGATAGTTATAGAAAAATTTAGTCATGATAGATGTTTTCCAGCAAACTTTTTCATGTTAATTACCAGAGAAAAAGCCTCATCCCCTCTAGATGTTAAAGAATAAAAATTTAATAACAATAATCATACCTGAATTTCTGGATCCGCAACAACATATTGCTTAAGGAGTCGATCACCAAATGCACGTGAGACAGCAAGAACCCCTCCAACTCTCCAAGTACCTATTGGTAAAGTTCCAGTAATTAAAAGAGGGCGAAAGAGGAACAATTTACCACAGCAGAAGAGAGGACAGCAAAATTATGATTAAAGGGGGGGGAATGCAGAACATCGTTTAGAGTCCTACCAGCCCACATCACAAATCCTCCAGCATCCTCAATCCGTTGACGCTCGTCAGTCTGATCAGGCTTGTGATCTCGGGATACAGCAATAGCTGCAAACAAGTTGATTGCACAAGAGAATCATGTCAAAAGAGTTTAACATAGCAAGGAAGCAATCCTCCTAAAAAAAATCTTTT